GTGTATCAGGGATGGGGAGTAAATCTGACTAAAATTCAAGGATCTTCTACCTCAGTGAAATTTCTAGGAGTCCGGTGGTGTGGGGCCTGTTGAGATATTCCTTCTAATTTGAAGGATAAGTTGCTGCATTTGACCCCTCCTACAAGCAAGAAAGAGGCACAACGCCTACGGGGCCTATTTAGATTTGGGGGGCAACACATTCCTCATTTGGGTGTGTTACTTCGGCCCATTTATCAAGTGACCTGAAGGCTGCCAGTTTTGAGAGGGGTCCAGAACAGGAGAAGGCTCTGCAACAGGTCCAGGCTGCTGTGCAAGCTGCTCTGCCACTGGGGCCATAGGACCCCAAATCCAGTGGTGCTTGAGGTGTCAGTGGCAGATAGGAATGCTGTTTGGTGCCTTTGACAGGCCCCTGTAGGTGAATCACAGCAGAGGCCTCTAGGATTGTGCAGCAAGACCCTGCCATCTTCTGCAGATAATTACTCTTCTTTTGAGAGACAGCTCTTGGCCTATTACTGGGCTTTGGTAGAAACTGAACATTTGACGATAGGTCATCAAGTTACCATGTGACCTGAACTGCCTATCATGAACTGGGTGCTTTCTGACCCATCTAGCCATAAAGTTGGGTGTGCACGGCAGCATTCCATCATCAAATGGAAGTGGTTATACATGATCGAGCTGGAACAGGTCCTGAAGACACAAGTAAGTTGCATGACTCAAATGCCCATGGTCTACTCCTGCCACCCTACCTTCTCTCCCCCAGCCTGCACCCATGGCCTCATGGGGAGTTCCCCATGATGAGTTGACAGAGGAAGAGAAGACTAGGGCCTGGTTTACAGATAGCTCTGCATGATATGCAGGCATCACCCAAAAATGGACAGCTGCAGCACTACAGTCCCTTTCTAGGACATCTCTAAAGGACAGCAGTTAAGAGAAACCTTCCCAGTGGGCAGAAAGAGAAGGGCACCTGGTTGTGCACTTAGAGGGAGAAGTGACCAGATATATTCATTCATGGGCTGTAGCCAGTGATTTAACTGGATAGTCAGGAACTTGGAAGAAGCATGATTGGAAAATTGGTGAGAAAGAAATTTTGGAAAGAGGTATGTGCAGGGACCTCTTTGAGTGGTCAAAAACTGTGAAGATGGCCGGGCTCGGTGGCTCATGCCTGTAATCCCAGCACTTTAGCAGGCTGAGGCGGGCACATCACCTGAGGTCAGGAGTTCAAGACTAACCTGGCCAACATAGTGAAACCCCGTTTCTACTAAAAATACAAAACTTAGCCAGGCGTGGTGGCAGATGTCTGTAATCTCAGCTACTCAGGAGACTGAGGCAAGAGAATTGCTGGAACCCGGGAGGCAGAGGCTGCAGTGAGCCGAGATCATGTCACTGCACTCCAACCTGGGCGACAGAGCAAAACTCTGTCTCAAAAAAAAAAAAAAAAAAGTGAAGATATTTGTATCCCATGTGAATGCCTACCAATTGGTGGCCTCAGCAGAGGAGATTTTTTTTCTCTGGGCTCGAGAGTTCCTCTCACCTTGGCCTCCCAAAGCGCTGAGATTACAGGTGTGAGCCACAGCACTGATCTTTATTATTTTTTTTTTTGAATTATTGTCTGGCAGCATCTTGGGCCAGAGTAGGCTCAGAGAAACTTCCAATATATATTTTTAAATAATAGCTATCCTAATGGGTGTGAAGTGCTATCTCATTATGGTTTTGATTTGCATTTTCCTAATGATTAGTGATGCTGAGCATCTTTTCATATGCTTATTGGCCATCTTTGGAGAAATGTCTATAGAAGTCCTTTTGCCCATTTTAATTGGGCTGGGTTTGTGTTGTTGTTATGAGTTCCTTGTGTATTGTGGATATTAATCCCTTATGAAATATATGATTTCTTCAATTCTGTGGGTTCTTTCCACTCTGTTGATAGTGTCCTTTGATGTACAAGTGTTTTTCTTTTCTTTTTTTTTTTTTTTTTTTTTTTTTTTTGGGACAGAGTCTCGCTCTGTCATGAGGTGCCAGGCTGGAGTGCAGTGGTGGGGATCTTGGCTCATTGTTGCAACCTCTGCCTCCCAGGTTCAAGCGATTTTCCTGCCAGAGCCTCCGGGAGTAGCTGGGACTACAGGGGCTCGCCACCATGCCCAGCTAATTTTTGTATTTTTTAGTAGAGACAGGGTTTCACCATGTTGGCCAGGATGATCTCGATTTCTTGACCTCGTGGTCTGCCCATGTCAGCCTCCCAAAGTGCTGGGATTACAGGCATGAGCCACAGTGCCAGGCCTCTTTTTTTTTTTTTTTTTGAGACGGAGTTTCGCTCTTGTTACCCAGGCTGGAGTGCAATGGCGCGATCTCGGCTCACCGCAACCTCCGTCTCCTGGGTTCAGGCAATTCTCCTGCCTCAGCCTCCTGAGTAGCTGGGATTACAGGCACGCGCCACCATGCCCAGCTGAATTTTTGTATTTGTAGTAGAGACGGGGTTTCACCATGTTGACCAGGATGGTCTCGATCTCTTGACCTCGTGATCCACCCGCCTGGGCCTCCCAAAGTGCTGGGATTACAGGCTTGAGCCACCGTGCCCGGCCCTCTTTTTTTTTTTTTGAGATGGAGTTTCGCTCTTGTCACCCAGGCTAGAATACAACGGCACCATCTCGGCTAACTGCAACTCTGCCTCCCGGGTTCAAGCAATTCTCCTGTCTCAGCCTCCTGAGTAGCTGGTATTACAGGCGGCTGCCACCATGCCTGGCTAATTTTTGTATTTTTAGTAAAGACGGGGTTTCACCATGTTAGCTAGGTTGGTCTTGAATTCCTGACCTCAGGTGATCTGCCCACCTCAGTTTCCCAAAGTGCTGGGATTATAGGCGTGAGCCACTGTGCCCGGCCAGGTTTTTCATTTTAATTTTAAAATTAATTTTATAGGAGGCCAGGAATTTGAGAGCAGCCTGGTCAACATGGTGAGACCTACGTCTCCACAAGAAAAAAAAAAAAAAAAAAGCTCTTAAAATTAATTTTAATGTTTTAAAATTTGATGAAGACTAATTTAATTATTTGTTGTTGCGTGTGCACCATTGTGTTATATCCAAGAAATCACTGACAAATTCAATGTCATTTTCCCCTGTGTTTTCTCTAATTTTTTTTTTTTTTTTTTTTTTGATGTGGACTCTAGCTCTGTCGCCCAGGCTGGAGTGCTGAAGCGCAGTGGCACAATCTCAGCTCACTGCAGCCTCCCAGGTTCAAGCAATTCTCCTGCCTCAACCTCCCCAGTAGCTGGGATTACAGGCACCTACCTCTAAGCCCAGGTAATTTTTGTATTTTTAGTAGAGACAAGGTTTCACTGTGTTGGCAGGCTGGTCTCAAACTCCTGACCTTAAGTCATCGGCCTGCCTTGGCCTCCCAAAAGTGCTGGGACCACAAGTGTGAGCCACTGCATCTGGCTTTTTTTTTTTTTTCTAGAGACGGATTCTCGCTCAGTCACCCTCACTGGAGTGCAGTGTCGCCCAGGTTGGTCTCAAACTTCTGAGCTCAGGCAATCCACCCACCTGGGCCTCCCAAAGTGCTAGGATTACAGGCATGAGCCACTGCACCCGGCCTTCTCTAAATTTTATAGTTTAAACTCTTACATTTAGGTCTTTGATCCATTTTGAATTAATCTTTTGTATATGGTATAAGGTGTAGAAAAAGTTTGCTGAGGCCTGGTAAAGGTAATTTCCATTTCTTCTGCTTTATAAAATAACGTTGCAGGCCAGGCATGGGTAGCTCACGCCTGTAATCCCAGCACTTTGGGAGGTTGAGGCAGGTGGATCATGAGGTCAAGAGATGGAGACCAGCCTGGCCAACAAGGTGAAACCCCATCTCTGCTAAAAATACAGAAATTAACACCAGGCTTGGTGGCTCATGCCTGGAATCCCAGCACTTCGGGAGGCTAAGGCAGATGGATCACGAGGTCTGATGTTCAAGACTAGCCTGGCCAACATGGTGAAACTCCATCTCTACTAAAATCACAAAAAAATTAGCTGGGCGTGGTGGCACACGCCTGTAATCCCAGCTTCTCAGGAGGCTGAGGCAAGAGAATCGCTTGAACCCAGAAGGTGGAGGTTGCAGTGAGCTGAGATCGTGCCACTGCACTACAGCCTGGGCGACAGAGCAAGACTCTGTCCCAAAAACCAACCAACCAAACAAACAAAATTAGCTGGGCATGGTGGCACACTCTGGTAGTCCCAGCTACTCGGGAGGCTGAGGCAGGAGAATTGCTTGAACCCGGGAGGCGGAGGTTGCGGTTAGCTGAGATCGCGCCACTACAGTCTAGCCTGGCGATAGAGCAAGACTCCATGACAAGAAAAAAAAAATTGCAGTGCCCATTCTGGGCACATTCAATATGCCTGGCCACTTGGATGGTTGGTATCACTCTGGCCATCTTGGTCTTTTACTTCCTGAATTGCAGCACATTCTCTCCAACCTGGAGTTTTATGCCTTTCCTTAAATTGCCCCTTCCATACTTGCCAGCTCGTCATGTATTTATTCTTTAATTTTCAGCTTCAAAGTCATTGCCTCAGGAACGACTTCCTCCGTGCCAAATTCAGTGTCAAACTCAGTTTGCTACTTTCTTTCCTCACTGTTAAGTCTTGTGAAGTCAAGAACTAGGTCTATTCCATTTGCTGCTAGATTGTAACACAGTCGCTAAATAGCTTTAACGACAACACGCACGAATAACTTTTTAAATTTCCTTGATTCCGTGGCTTCTGCTGTTTTGTTCAAGCTGGTCTCCCACATGCGATCACGCGGTTATTCGCCACACAAGTTATCTCACACACTGGGTCACGCAGTTATCCTAGCAGCCTCCGCCGTATAAGAACTGAGACTCCAGCCCCTGGGACAACGCAGTTATTCCACCTCCCCTATGCGAGTAGGTAGCTACACTACTGACAATTACCCCCAGCAAACACACACGACACCACGTCATGGAAAACAAAGCAAGCCAAAACAAAACATCTGACTTATAACAGAACAGTAAGGGCGCCGGGACCAACGATCACCAGCTGCCCAAATGCCAAAAAATTATGCTTCCGAAATCTCTTGATGTCGATTCCGCACGAAGAGCAATCGAGTTACTCTACGTGTGCCACTCACGACAGAAGCCCTTTTTGCCGTGCAGGCTACCAAAGCAGAGTGGCAGTGTCAGCAAATCCATATTTTGGTAAAGGTGAACACAAAACCTAAGCAACGCCTTATTCCATATTCGTTCCTGAAGTCGAAGAGGGAATTCCGGTTCTTCTGAATTGAAAGGAAGGCTTTACAAGGAAAATCTAGACTGTGTCCTTTCGATTTTTATTTAGAAGTAAAGAAAAGGACGTGAGTTGATATGCAAATATGAGCAGTGCTTGCTGGGAAGGTGCTGGCGGGAGTCGAGGCAGTGGCGAGGAAGAGAGGCTGCGCGAGCGAGGGAGGACCCACTCCTTCCGGTTGTAGTTAGCGGTGGTTCTCGCTTGTCAACTGCTCAGGACAGCAGGCGTCTCCTGGCGTTGGAATACAGGCTCTCAGCGGCTGTGGGTACCTAACTGGGGAAGACAAGAATCACAGCCTATCCAAATTGAAAATGTGTAATTTGTGCCACCCCTAGCCACCACCCTGGAGCAGCCCAGGCAAGCGTGCAGTGGAAGCACAAGGTCACTGTAAGTGAAAACACTTTCCCGAGAACAACGCATAAGCTGACTGTCATGGTGTGTTCATAGAGTGGCAAGCTATATGCTGCACTTCTAAGGAATCCTATTATAAAGCAAAAAAAAAAAAAAAAAAATTGAGTGATAAGAGTTGTACAATAAGGTACAGCATAGCATTAATGTGAAAAATAATACAGTACCTCAGATAACTGAAGTAGATCTTCAACACAGTTTTTTTTTTTTAAAACAGTGTCTCACTCTCGTTGCCCAGGCTGGAGTGCAGTGGCGCAATCTTGGCTCACTGCAACCTCCGCCTCCTGAGTTCAAGTGATTTTCCTGCTTCAGCCTCCCAAGTAGCTGGGACTATAGGCTTGTTTGTGCCACCATGCCAGGCTAATTTTTTGTTTTTAGTAGAGATGGGGTTTCACCATGTTGGTCACTCTGTTCTTGAACTCCTGACCTCAGCTTCCCAAAGTGCTGGGATTACAGGTGTGAGCCACCATGCCCAGCCAACACAGATGTTTTTAAAAGTGGAAAAAAGCTGTTGAATAGGGTACAGCCTAATACTGTTGATCTAATCAAGAGCATGCAGGCATACCGGCAAAACCCTGTGCTATGTATATTCTACGGCCATGTGTTTGTATGAACAATATAAGATGTTAAAGAAGATCAGGAAACATATCAATGATTACCCCTTGGAAGGAGGTAGGGGATTAGGATGGCAGCAGTTGACACACAGGACTTTAGATTTCTCTCATTTTTTGTTAAGGATAATGATGGACAGGTGCGGTGGTTCATGCCTGTAATCCCAACACTTTAAGAGCCCAGGAGTTTGAGACCACTTTGGGCAACATACAGAGACCTCGTCTCTATCCCAAAATAAAAAATTAACCATGTATCATGGCATGGGCCTGTGGTCCTAGCTACCCCAGAGGCTGGGGCAAGAGGATTGCTTGAGCCAGGGAAGTCAAGGCTGCAGTGAGCCATAATCATGCCACTGCACTCCAGCCTGGGTGGCAGATGAAGACCCTGTCTCAAAAAAAAAAAAAAAAAAAAAACAAACCCCAATATGTGACAATTGTTAAGAAATTGAAATAGCACAGAAATGATATAAAATGTAAAAAAGAAAGAAAGAAATGATATAAAATTCGCTTATACCTGTAATCTTAGCACTTTGGGAGGCCGAGACAGGCGGATTACCTGAGATTGGGAGTTTGAGACCAGCCTGAACAACATGGAGAAACCCCATCTCTACTAAAAATACAAAATTAGCTAAATGTGGTAGCACATGCTTGTAATCCCAGCTACTCGGGAGGCTGAGGCAGGAGAATCACTTGAACCCAAGAGGCGGAGGTTGCTGTGAGCTGAGATCGTGCCATTGCACTCCAGCCTGGGCAAAAAGAGTGAAACTCTGTCTCAAAAAAAAAAAAAAGTGAAAATGCTTCTTCCAAACTACTGTTAACAGTTTAGTGTTTATCTTGCCAGACTGCTTGCTATGTACATACACATTATATACATATAAATAAATGTTTTTGCCTGGGTCAGGTGGCTCATGCCTGTAATCCCAGCACTTTGGGAGGCAAAGGTGGGCGGATCACCTGAGGTCAGGAGTTTGAGACCAGCCTGGCCAACACGGTGAAACCCTATCTCTACTAAAAATATCAAAAATTAGCTGGGCATGGTGATGGGCACCTGCAATCCTAGCTATTCAGGAGGCTGAGACAGGAGAATCGCTTGAACCTGGGAGGCAGAGGTTGCAGTGAGCCGAGATCGCACCATTGCACTCCAGCCTGGGCAACAAGAGCAAAACTCCATCTCAAAAATAAATAAATACATACATACATATTTACATACATACATAACAAAATGCAGTCAATAAAAAATACAGACTGTTAGGTAATTTACTTTCTTTTTTTTTCTTTTTAAGATGGAGTCTTGCTCTGTTGCCCAGGCTGGAGTACAGTGGTGCGATCTCGGCTCACTGCAACCTCTGCCTCCCTGGTTCAAGCGATTCTCCTGCCTCAGCCTCCCGAGTAGCTGGGACTACAGGCACCCACCACAATGCTCAGCTAATTGTTTGTATTTTTAGTAGAGATGGGGTCTCACCATGTTAGCCAGGATGGTCTCTATATCCTGACCTAGTGATCCTCCCTCCTTGGCCTCCCAAAGTGCTGGGATTACAGGCGTAAGCCACCGCGCCTGGCCAATTTACATTCTTTAATATATTTTAATAATATGTGGAGGTCCTTGCTCTTTACAAAGTAGAAGTCATAAGAGAAGGGACATACATAAACAGCTCTTACATTGTTATAGGAAGCAGATGTGTTATATAAACTTGTGAGAAGCCCAGAGATGGTACTGTCAATTGCTCTTCCTATCATCCACCAGTGTTATCTCTTTCTCTTTCTTTCTTTCTTTTCTTTTCTTTTTTTTTTTTGACATGGGGTATTGCTCTGTCACCCATGCTGGAGTGCAGTGGTGCAGTCATAGCTCACTGCAGCCTGGAACTTCTAGGCTCAAGCAGATCCTCTTGCCTGTCAGTCTCCTGAGTGGCTGGGACTGCAGGCCCACACCACCATGCTGAGTCTAATTTTTTTTTTTTTTTTTTTTAATAGAGACGTTGGGCTGGGCGTGGTGGCTCACGCCTGTAATCCAAGCACTTTGGAGGCCAAGGTGGGCGGATCACCTGCGGTTGGGATTTCAAGACCAGCCTGACCAACATGGTGAAACCCCATCTTTTAAAAAATAAATAAATAAATAAATAGAGATGTTGTCTCCATATGTTGACCAGGCTGGTCAAACTCCTGGGCTCAAGTGATCTTCCTGCCTGGGCCTCCCAAAGTGTTGGAATTAGAGGCATAAGCCACCACATCTGGCTTTATCTGTTTTTTTTTTTCTTTTTTTTTTTTTTCAGACAGAGTCTCACTCTGTCACCCAGGTTGGAGTGCAGTGGCATGATCCTGGCTCACTGCAACCTCTGCCTCCCAGGTTCAAGCGACTGTCCTGCCTCAGCCTCCTGAGTAGCTGGGACTACAGGCATGCGCCACCATGCCCAGCTAATATTTTTAGTAGAGACAGGTTTTACCCTGTTGGCCAGGCTGGTTTCAAACTCCTGACCTCAAGTGATCCACCCACCTTTGCCTCCCAAAGTGCTGGGATTACTGGCGTGAGCTACCATTCCTGGCCTGGCCTTATCTCTTTTTTTTTTCTTTTTTTTTTTGAGATGGAGTCTCGCTCCTGTTGCATAGGCTGGAGCGCAGTGGCACGATCTCGGCCCCCTACAACCTCCACCTCCCAGGTTCAAGCAATTCTACTTCGTCAGCCTCCCAAGTAGCTGGGATTACAGGCATGCGCTACCACACCCAGCTAATTTTTGTTTTTAGTAGAGATGGGTTTTGCATGTTGGCCAGGCTGGTCTCGAACTTCTGACCTCAGGTGATCCACCCGCCTTGGCCTCCCAAAGTGCTAGGATTACAGGCCTGAGACACTGTGCCCAGTACCTTATCTCTTTTTTTTTTTTTTTTTTTTTTTTTAAGAGGGGGGTTTCACCATGTTGATCAGGCTGGTCTTGAACTCCCGACCCCAGGAGATCCGCCTGCCTTGGCCTCCAAAGTGCTTGGATTACAGGCGTGAGCCACCACCCCCAGCCTTATCTCTTAAAAAAAAATAACAAAGAAAGGCCGGGCGCGGTGGCTCACGCCTGTAATCCCAGCACTTTGGGAGGCCGAGGCGGGTGGATCACGAGGTCAAGAGATCGAGACCATCCTGGTCAACATGGTGAAACCCCGTCTCTACTAAAAATACAAAAATTCAGCTGGGCATGGTGGTGCGTGCCTGTAATCCCAGCTACTTGGGAGGCTTGAACCTGGGAGGTGGGGGTTGTAATGAGACAAGATGGCGCCATTGCACTCCAGCCTGGGTGACAGTGAGACTCCATCTCAAAAAAAAAAAAAAAAAAAAGGAAAAATAATCTACCTGTGAGGCTGATGTGGCTCACTTAAACACAGGAGTTTGAGGCTGCAGTGAACTATGATTGTGCCACTGATGACAAAGTGAGACCCTGTCTCATTTAATAATCACCATAATTTCACCGTTCTCCCAATACCTTCCCATTGTATACTGAATAAAATCTCAAGGGCCCATCATAGTCTAGTCTAAAAGGTCCAGACTAGAACAAACCCCTGCCTACCTCTCCAAACTCACTGTCTTTCCCGGTTACCGAAGCTCCCCACCACCTTGGCCTTCTTGGTCCTTGAATAAGTTCTTTCCTTACTGAGGACCATGGCTCAGTCTCTTAGCTAGCTAGATAAGTCTGGCTTATTCTGGTATTCTCTCCTTTTACCCTTTTGTGCAGTTGCTAATGGTCTGTTTCCCACTCTAGATTGCAAACTTTTTTTTTTTTGAGATGGAGTCTCCCTCTGTCACCCAGGCTGGACTGCAATGCAGTGGTGTGATCATGGCTCATTGCAACCTCTGCCTCCTGGGTTTAAACAATTCTGTCTCAACCTCCTGAGTAGCTGGGATTACAGGCATGCGCCACCATGCGCAACTAATTTTTTCGTGTATTTTTAGTAGAGACTGGGCTTCATATTGACCAGGCTGGTCTCAAACTACTGACCTTGTGATCTGCCCGCCTCGGCCTCCCAGAGTACTGGGATTACAGGCACTGCACACAGCCCAGGTTGCAAACTTTTTAAGGACCAGGATATCATCTGTCTTAGACACCAGTTATGTACTCATCACATAGCAAAAGGCTTGGCACACAAGACTCAATAAACACTTGTCAAATGAATGTATATACATTCAACCTGGGTCTTAAAAAAGAGGTATAGGCTTTCAATAACAAAAAGTGGTATGCCAGACCCTAAAAAGAATGGAGAGCAGTGGCAGGGAAATAAGGCTAGGAATACAGCTTGGAGCCCAGTGTTCATGAGGACTTGAATCTGAGAATTTGGATTGGGTGGCAGTGAAGAGCGTGGATTGGGAGTGTGGTAGGATGAGGATTAGGAAGATATAAAGACAGGGCAGGATGCCGCACCAATTTGGGCAGCTCCTCATGATTCCTGCTGGCAGATACTGTGGCTCACTCTGGGCTGTCACAGCTCTTTATAAATTTTTTGGTGTGTTTGTGGTTTCTTCTCCGACTTACTGTGAACCTCACAGATGCTGGAATTGTTCTTGCTTGCATGCCTAACATTCCAGCCTGGACAAGTAAAAAATACAGCAGTTCTCATCAAGCATTTGACATCTGAAAAACTGAAAGCATTAGAGATTGCTACAGGACAGGCTCTGGCGTAGGAGTGAGTTCTGAGTTCAAGCTGAGGCTCTGCTCCTATTAGCTAGAACTTTGCTTAATCACTCACAGGTCTCCTCTGATTAAATGGCGTAACGGAGGAGATAAGAGGATTAGCATAATTCCTGGCAAACAGTAAGCATTCAACTGTATCGTTGAATTGACAGTTCACAGGCACAATCAACCAATCTCTCTCTTCTCCCAGTTCCTGTGCTGCCAGCTTCCTCGTTGAGGTCGAACAGGGTGTCTATGGGGTAATGTGTCCCAGATGATATCCCGGTCCTGACACCATGACAAAGACACCAACCAAAAATGGCGACCTCAAAGCCATCCGAGGGCGTCAATTACCCGTCCTGCTACCGATAGATAAATAAGCAGAGTCGGGAAGAGAAGCTAGGGAAGGATTCTTAACGCTGGGGTGGAATACGCAGAGCTCGCTCACGCTGCCACTCAATCACAAGCAGTTAAAAGAGCAAGCCGCAGGGTCTAGCTACATACAGCCCAATACGGCCACCACGTGTCGAAGGGCAGTCTGCGCCTGCGCTAGCGAGGCGCGCGCCCGCCTGCCGGAAGAGCCGCGCGTTTCCGGGTTGGAGGCGGGGAGCGGTGCCGGAAGTAGTCGGGGAGGGCCGCGCAGTCGGACCGGCTGCTGAGACGAACGCTACATTGGGGCAGTCTCCGCATATCATGGGGAGATAGACGCTGCTGCCTGTGAGTCTTGGGCCCTGGCAGTTGAGGAACAAGAGCGGGAGGAGGGAGTCAGGACCCAGACCTACAGTGGATCAGTGTTGGAAGGTCCAGGTTGTGAACGAGATGGGGCTGTGAGGATTCAGGCTCTCGGGAAGGGACCGACTGAGAGGATCGGGCTCGGAGAAGACGCGGCTGTGGGGACCCGGGCTCTAGACGGGACTTAGGGAACGGGATTGGATGTGAGTTCTCCAGCATCTGAGGGAAAGCGGTCTGAGAGGAACAGGGTTATGAGAACCCGCGCTCCTGAGAGGAGAGGGTCGGAAAGGAATGGGGCGTGAAGACGGGCTCCGGAGAGGTAAAAGTGGAGCGGTGAGGACTTGGGCTCTAAGAGGCAGAAGCGGGACAGTGAAGACCCGGGCTCCTAAGGATTCAGAAACGGGGCAGCGAAGACTTAGGTTCCTGAGGGGCAGAAGCAGACAGAGAAAACTTGAGTTTAGAAGGGAACAGAAGCGGGCAGTGAAGGCTGGGGCTTCTGTGGGGACGGGATCCGGGCTTTGAGACTCCGAGTTCCTGAGTCTCAGAACAGGGCTGTGAGCACCCGAGCTCCTAAAAGCTTTGGATCTAAGGGACCATGGATGTGAGATCAGCCCACAAAGTAAAGGGAAAGGGCTTGGAAAAGATTCAGTGATCCATTTTTTCTCGTATTCTCTGAACCCAGAGGGATAAAGGACGTATCAGGGGAAGACAACTTCTCCTTCGCGCTGCCCACTTGGCTCTTGGCAGGCTTTTCTTGTGTCAGATACTCAATCTAGGAAGCCCACATGCAAACATCTTCATTTTCTACTTCATTCTTGGGAATCAGATGTGAAGTTGAAAACAGTTGAAACTCAGTTACGTACTTAATAAGTGCTTTAAATCCCATTCCACTCAACCCTGAATGAGCACAGATCTCCGCATCTAAAATAAAAGAATGTCAGTGATGGAAGGGTCCCAAAAGATCATCTCTTAAAAACTATTTTACATTTATTTTATTTTATTTTATTTATTTTTTTTTTTTTGAGACGGAGTTTCGCTCTTGTTGCCCAGGCTGGAGTGCAATGGCGCGATCTCGGCTCACCACAACCTCCGCCTCCCGGGTTCAGGCAATTCTCCTGCCTCAGCCTCCTGAGTAGCTGGGACTACAGGCACGTGCCACCATGCCCAGCTAATTTTTTGTAGTTTTAGTAGAGACGGGGTTTCACCATGTTGACCAGGATGGTCTTGATCTCTTGACCTCGTGATCCACCCGCCTCGGCCTCCCAAAGTGCTGGGATTACAGGCTTGAGCCACCGCGCCCGGCCTCTATTTTACATTTAAAGAGGCTGTTTCAAAGAGACTTAGGATCACAGTGAGGCAATGGTTAGTTAGATCATAATTTTAATACAGTACCCTTCTATATGTAGCAAATGAGATGCTTGGTTAATGTGCCTTAAATAAATGCTTCTAGAATGTTTGCTTTATCTTCAAGCTCAGGAGGAAATTTTTTAAGGCAGGGTCTCTGTCACCCATGCTGAAGTGCAGTGGCTCAGTCTTGGCCACGGCACCCTCAACCTCTTTGGCTCAAGCAATCTTCCCACCTATACCTCGTGAGTAGCTTGAATTACAGGCATGTACCACCACACCCTGTTAATTTTTAAATTTTTTGTAGAGACAGGGTCTCACTATATTGCCCATATTGCCCAGGCTGGTCTCAAACTCCTAGGTGCAAGCGATCCCCTCCCACCTTGGCCTCCCAAAGTGCTGAGATTACAGGCATGAGTCACCTCGCCCCCTCCTCCAGTTTTGTTTGTTTTTGAGACAGAGTCACCCAGGCTAGAGTGCAGTGGCAAGATCTCGGCTCACTGCAATCTCTACCTTCCTGGTTCAAATGATTCTTCTGATTCTTCTGCCTCAGCCTACCGAGTAGCTGGAATTACAGGTGTGTGTCACAACACCCGGCTAATTTTTGTGTTTTCAGTAGAGACGGAGTTTTGCCATGTTGGTCAGGCTGGTCTCGAACTCCTGACCTCAAGTGATCTGCCACCGTCAGCCTCCCGAAGTGCTGGGATATAGGCGTGAGCCACTGTGCCTGGCCCAGTTTTTATTTCCAGTAAAAACTGGAAATTTTTACAGTTTCTGACAGTTTGCATGTTGTTAATGTATTGACATCAATATAGTGAATGTCACTTAATAGTAAGGAAATCTTAATTTTTATTTTTGTATTTTTGAGACAGGGTCTTGTTCTGTTGCCCAGATTGGAGTACAGTGGCATCATCATAGTTTGCTGCAACCTATATTCTTGGGCTCAAGCACTCCTCCTGTGTCAGCCTCCCAGGAAGGTGGGAATACAGGCATGAGCCACACACCTAGCTAATTTTTTTTTTTTTTTTTTTTTTTTTTTGAGACAGTCACGCTCTGTTGCCTAGGCTGGAGTGCAATGCTGTAGTCTCAGCTCACTGCAACCTCTGCCTCCTGGGTTTGAGCAATTCTCCTGCCTTAGCCTCCCAAGTAGCTGGGATTACAGGCGCCCGCCACCACGTGTGGCTAATTTTTGTATTTTTAGTAGAGATGGGGTTTCACCATGTTGGCCAGGCTCGTCCTGAACTCCTGACCTTGTGATCCGCCCACCTCAGCCTCCCAAATTGCTGAGATTACAGGGGTGAGCCACCACGCCCGGATGGCACCCAGTTAATTTTTAAATTTTTTTTTTTTTTTTTTTTAGATGCGGTGTTTCGCTCTTGTTACCCAGGCTGGAGTGCAATGGCGCGATCTCGGCTCACCGCAACCTCTGCCTCCTGGGTTCAGGCAATTCTCCTGCCTCAGCCTCCTGAGTAGCTGGGATTACAGGCACGCTCCACCATGCCCAGCTAATGTTTTGTATTTTTAGTAGAGACGGGGTTTCACCATGTTGACCAGGATGGTCTCGATCTCTTGACCTTGTGATCCACCCGCCTCGGACTCCCAAAGTGCTGGGATTACAGGCTTGAGCCACCGCGCCCGGCCAATTTTTAAATTTTTTTATAGAGACAGTGTTTGGCTGTGTTACCTAGGCTGGTGTTGAATTTTTGGCCTCAAGTGATCCTCCTGCCTTGGCCTCCCAAAATGTTGGGATTATAGGCATGAGCTACTACTACACCTGGCTGGAACCTTTAAATAAAGCTCCGTGTTATTTGTTTATTTAACAAGCTGTTTGGAAAGTCATAAATAAGTGTGTCCTATATTTTTAATACAAGCATTTATTAGAGATGGCCACTTTTGGGTAAGGATGGTGGGGAGACTTGCACTGGTCACTTCCTTCAATATAACTATCTTTTTCTGAAACCTACTCAGATTAACTAAGCACAGCTTAAGCACTTTCAAGTATTCTATCATTTAATTATCACAGCCCCACAAGTTAGATATTGTCAGTCCTGTTATACAGATAATGAAATAGGTTTAGAGAGGTTAAATACTTTGCCTGAAATCACAGTACTGAGTGACCCAATCCCAGTTATGTGTGCCTCTGAAACTTTTTTCTACTTTTCTTTTTTTATAATTTTTTTTTTTTTTTTTTTTGAGACGGAGTTTCGCTCTTGTTACCCACACTGGAGTGCAATGGCGCGATCTCGGCTCACCGCAACCTCCGCTTCCTGGGTTCAGGCAATTCTCCTGCCTCAGCATCCCCAGCAGCTGGGATTACAGGCACGCGCCACCATGCCCAGCTGATTTTTTGTATTTTTAGTAGAGAACGGGGTTTCACCATGTTGACCAGGATGGTCTCGATCTCTTGACCTCGTGATCCACCCGCCTCGGCCTCCCAAAGTGCTGGGATTACAGGCTTGAGCCACCGCGCCCGGCCTTTTTTTTTTTTTTTTTAAAGACGGGGTTTCACCATGTTGGTCAGGCTGGTCTTGAACTCCCGACCTCAGGTGATCCGCCCGCCTTGGCCTCGAAAGTGCTTGTATTACAGGCGTGAGCCACTGCACGTGGCCTCTTATTTTTTTAGAGATGGGATTTCACGATGTTGGTCAGGAGGCTGGTCTCAAACTCCTGACCTCGTGACCCACCCACCTCAGCCTCCCAAAGTGCTGGGATTACAGGTGTGAGCACTGCGACCAGCCACTTTTCATTTTTTTTCATTCAATGCATCATTGAATGAAAGCATCCCTTCCTTAAGGCTCCTCTAAATGTCCAAGAACCAGAATTTATCAGGATACTTATATATTGTGGCATTTGAGGAGAATTAAACTGTTTTCACAGAAGCATAGATCATTCAAGATAGAAAAATGGGAACTTTGTAGAGCTTTTCCTTGTAATATAGTAAGACATTTAATTTTAGATTTAGGAGACCAAGAAAGACTAATTTGGACTGGGCTTGGTGGCTCATGCCTGTAATCCCAGCACTTTGGGAAGCCAAGGCCGGTGGGTCACCTGAGGTCAGGAGCTGGAGACCAGCCTGGCCATCGTGGCAAAACCCCTACTAAAATTAGCCAGGCATGGTGGACTAATTTTCTACTAAAAATACAAAAGTTAGCTGGGCATGGTGGCGCATGCCCAGAGTCCCAGCTACTCTGAAGGCTGAGGTTGAAGAATTACTTGAACTCTGGAGGTGGAGGTTCCAATGAGCCGAGATTGTGTCACTGCTCTCCAGCCTGGATGACAGAATGAGACTCCATCTAAAAAATAATAATAATAATTTGAAAAACAAGGGCTTAAATTTGATTAACTTTGCAGTAAATTATAGCATGAACTAGATGTTTGAGGGAATTGGGCTTAGTTAAAACTACTATTTTTTTCCCCAGGGTTAGTCTGTACTATTTGCAAGCACCTATACTATATACAAATGATCAAAACTTACACCAACTTATAAGGGAAAGCATACCCACGTCACCACTTCAAAGTACTTGATGGTTTAATTAATGATAATTTACTCCTGCGTTAACACCCTTGCCTATACTTGAAAAATGTATTTTCTTTCATTTGTGGCTCTAGCATTTGACTTATAATAGGACTTCAGAATACCCAATCAGAAAATCATTATGTTATAATTAGAGCAGATAGGAACATAGGACATACAACCTTTTTATTTATTTTTATTTTATTATTATTATTTTTTTGAGACGGAGTTTCGCTCTATCCCACAGGCTGGAGTGCAGTGGCTCAATCTCGGCTCACTGCAACCTCTGCC